CTTTCAAACTCCACGACAGATGGCGCTCTCAAGTTGCACTTCCTTACTCCCCTCTCGTGGATGGTATCGCCCATGACCAGTCAAGCGTTAAAAAACTTTTGAAGGAAATTCGCTGCATTTCGGCTCAAACTTTTTCACTCCCCGAGGCACAAAATGTGAATTTACGCCTATAATACACGCGCACGCGCGCGTGCGACCACACCTGCGTGTGGGCGTCCGTTAGTGTGTGTGTATGTGTGTTTTTGTAACTGTAAAAACGCGTATTATAGCCGTAAATCTACTTTTTGTGCAATGGGGGGGTGAAAAAGTTCGAGTTACAACACAGCTATTTGCCCCGTGAAAATTTTCCATGCTTGGCTGGTCATAGGCAATACAATTTGGAGGAGGGGTGAGGAAAAGACTGAGGGAAAGGAGAGAGAGAGGCAGAAGGATGAGCAGAGAAAAGAAGGAGGGGACGAGGCAGGGATTCAAACGCACGTACAGTTATTGTAGGCACATACGCAGACCTTACGGACGCGCCGATTCCTCTCCCTCTTTCTTTTATTTATAATATTTTTCTCTCTATAGTTACTTCTCTCGCTTTCTCGCACACTGTTTCCCTCTCGTTTTCTTTCTTTCTTGGGAGCGATATATATATATATGTACGAAGGGAGCGCTGCATGCAGTTTGCACTTAGCACTTCCTTACTCCCCTCTGGCGGATGGTATCGCCCATAACCAGTCAAGCGTTAAAAATCTTTTGAAGGAAATTCGCTGCATTTCAGCTCAAACATTTTCACTCCCCGAGGCACAAAATGTGAATTTACGCCTATAATACACGCGCACGCGTGCGTGCAACCATACCCGCGTGTGGGCGTTCGTTAGTGGGTGTGTATGTGTGTTTTCGGGACTGTAAAAACGCATATTATAGCCGTAAATCCACGTTTTGTGCAATGGGGGGGTGAAAAGTTATGGCTGAAAATCAGCCATCTGCCCGGTGAAAATTTTTCATGCTTGACTGGTTATGGGCGATACCATTTCGGAAAGGTGTGTAGTGATGATATCTATACTACTGTAAGGTACCGCCACCTAGTGCCAAACAAGCCTACTAAAGTTAACTGGAGTCCTATCTTGTTCCTCATAATTTTGTAATTATGTATTGACAATTTGACATGTGTGCGTTACGTATGTATTGACATGATGTGTTTATATTGCATGTAGTGACGTATTTTATACGTATTGTAGTTATGAATGGGCATAGTAGTAGTTGTAGTCTGTACTCTGTAGTATTGTAGTTGTAGTTATGAATGGGCATAGTAGTAGTTGTAGTCTGTACTCTGTAGTATTGTAGTTGTAGTTATGAATGTATTGGCATGTGTCAGTAACGCTCATAGGGTCTATGTCCCCCAGGGTACTGCC